CCCCCCCCCAACAGAGGAACAAAGTTGAGACCAGAAAAAAAAAAAAGTCGAGACCAGAGCCTTAGGTTTCCATCTCGCTATGCATGACCGGAACTGGGTCTGGTGTGCGGTTGTCTTCTGAGTCGGACTCGGTGTCTAAACGCAGCAAATCCTATGGAATGCAAAGTATCTCCCTCTCAAATTTGTATTTTCCTCCTATTTTATAGTTGATTTCCGAATATTTTCGTTTTGGGAACAAATCTGAAATTTTTTTTTTTTTTAATAAAATCAGTGTGGATACGGATAAGATACGTATCCTTCACGTATCCGATACGGATACGGGATCTATTTTCACGTATCCGTGCTTCAGAGATAAAATATAAAACATCTCTCTTTCTCTCTTCTTCTATTTCTCTTTTTCCCTCTCTCTATTTCTCTTTTTCCCTCTCTCTATTTCTCTTTCATTCTCACTCCCCCTTTCTGCCTCTCTCTCTCTCTCTCCTTCTCCCTCCCCCCCTCTCTCTCTCCCCCTTCTGTTTCTCTTTCTCCCTTTCTCTCACTCCCCCTCCCTTCCTCTCTCACTCTCCATCTCTTTCTCTCTCCCTCTACCCCCTCCCTTTCTCTCTTTCTTTCTACCTTTATTTCTCCTTCTCCCTCTCTCTCCCTACCTCTCTCACTCCCCATTTATCTCTCTCTCACTCCCCATTTATCTCTTTCTCTCCCTCTTATATCTTTATTTCTCTCTCCCTATCTCTCGTAATGATATTTATTAACACTTTTTAATTAATTTATTTATTTATTTGAATGAAATGAAATATATACTTTTATCCTTTTTTTTTATTATTATGTAGTATTCTTCTTTGTTTATTTTTTTGTTGAATTCTATATTTAAATAATTTAAACTATAAGTTTCAATTTTTTTAGAAAGAATTTAATGTCATATTTATAATGAGTTGAGTAAATAAGTATATCTAATAAATTTATTTTAATAGAGGATATTTTTGTGAAAAAAATATTTATATTCCTAGAAATATAGTAATATAACTAAACATGAAAATCTTAAATTTTCGAAAATCCTATATGAATATTCTAAGAAACCTTTATGAGTAACTAAACATATTTTAATTATTCTGATCATTCTATTCCAAGATCTGTAATTCCTACAAACCATGATTCCCCACTATGATAAAACTTCTATCTTACCAAACCTCTCCTAGGTGTTTCGTTTCTTTAACCTTCCACATGAATGGAAAGGATTACCTGACCGTTTTATTATTCCCGTTAGAAAGCTTCAATTAAACAACCAAATGTAATCTCTTGAATGATGAATAAAGTTTCTTTTCTATTCTATTTTAGTTGCATCTGTTAGTAACTTCATAGTTCAAGCGCATAGAAACCATATTAAAGAACAATAATAAACACTCATTTTAGTTCATAAATTTGAAAGACAATGTCATATTGATTTTTGAAACTAAGAAATTATCAAATAAGTTGTTAGAATATCAAATAAGTCTTTTAAATTTAACAACTTATTATCATTTTGGTCATCGAATATATATTAAAATTACCATTTTGGTGACATTTTTTTTGAATTTTGGACTAATATGATTATGAATTTGTACTTTCAATGGCATATTAAACAATTTATTAATTTCAAAGACTAATATGACAGTATTTTTCAAATTTAAGGACTAATTTAGGTGTTTACTTAAAAATAAATAATAATAATAATAATAATAATAATAATAATAATAATAATAATAAAAGACACAATGACAAGGTGATTAGACATGATTATAGTCATGTGCAAATTAAAACCACACACTTCGATGTATGGTCAAAGCAAGAAAGTTCTATAATTAATAGAATGAATCATCATGCAAAAGGGAAGGGGTGACGGAAGAACAAAATACTCATTTTATTTATTCAATAAATTGCGACAAGTCTCAAAGAGCATTCGAAAGGAAGTTATGCTAATAAATTCTCTCCGCTGTAGACACAGGACGTAAGAAAACAACGATAACTGTGATGTTATCTTTGCTGCCACGTTCCACAGCTTCAGTAGCCAACCTCTTAGAGCACATTCCCGGCTCTTTAACGGTGTCTTTAATTATATTTATGACCTCCATACTGCTTATGACATCCCAGAGGCCATCGCTAGCCATGACCTAAATCAAAAAATTTATTAATAGTTTAAACATGAAGGGAAGAAATTGTTTCAAAACTATATCAGAAGCACCAGGGTAATATGCGGGTGATGCACATAACATGATGTATAAAAAGCTTTCAAGCCTTGGTCTATCATTAAGCGCAGTTCAATAAATTAAAAATCATTTTGGTACAGCTAACTTGCTAAGTTAATCTAAAAGAATAGTTACTTAACAATGCCCTTGGACCTTTGCCCGCTATGTGCAACTTTTTTTTAAGATACTTCAAACCCTTAGAAGCCTTTCAATAAACATAATCAGTAAGATTACAAATGCAATTATCAACTGTTAATTATCTCTATCTGTGAACATATTTTTCAAGATACTTCAAACTCAACTTATCTAAAGATCCAATGTACATAATGAACTTCAGGCAAATAACAGAATGTATCATGAAGCTCCTTACCAGAAATTCATCCTCTGCACATAAGGTATTCTGAGTTATCTCAGGTTCTGCAGTTACAGCAGGCTTGAGATCATCATCACCAATTGAACGAGTAACCTGCGTAAAATACCAGTCAATATTTTACTAGAATCAACATATAGTAAAGCCTCAAATTGCCATTAATATAGTTGCTGGTGCCTGCTTATATTATTTTGTTCACACGAGATCATTTGTGCCAGAAGTTACAACAAAGTGAACAAGAAAGCAAAAAGGACAGACATTACCGAACCAATTGCGCTGCGTTACAAATCAGACCAGTGATGGCTAGACATAGCTTCCCTCTCTAAGTAATACCAGAATGTATGACTCATGCACTAGATACAAACCTAAAAGTAATTAGTTATATAACCTATTTTCAGAAGGCAATCCTGAGTCCTGACACTATGTTCCCACTACCATCAGGAAACTAGTCAAATAAGCACCACATCAAATTACCTTTTCCCCCAGGATATTTGCCAGTTACTTTCTGAAATGGAAAATCGGAATTATATTAACAAATATAGGGGCCACTAGTATTGCATTTGCCTTCCGTACGTCATTGCACCACTAGTTTTTCAACAATGTACAAGATTTTAGATTAACATGCGTTGGAATTCAAGTGAGCAATATGCCAGACCAGTATGCAATGTTAATGAAATACACCCAACCCCAGAAAGAACAGAAAGTGTAAGAATTTGCAAGTGAACTGAACAAAGAACATTGCTTCCTTCACCCGTACAAAACTTTCATCATGAAAATATAACATTGGTTGCAAGAGATTCTTCGGCACAAAAACAAATTCTGCAGACCATTTTATAAAGAAGGCTATCAGTAACCTCCCTATTAATTTTGAGTTTTTGACAATAACTTTATGTGGTAAAATGATTAAATTGGGATATTCAGAAGAAAAAACGAGCTCAGATTCCAATTTCATAAATGGCACATGGAAAAAATAAAAATAAAAAATAACCAGGCATTTCTGAATATATGATGAGCAACATAGCAATCAATTTGGAAAAACCTGAAGTGCAGGAAGACCGACTCTCCAAGTATCAACTTGCCAATGTACATGCCCCCCCTGACAAATAACACGCTCTCTCTCTTGAAGACAGCTTGCAACGTGATCCTAATAATGTCAACCTTTGATTAGACTAAATGGAATTATATAAATGAATAAAATAAAGAAACATATTAGTAATAAGGGTGGGTTTATTCAATAAGCTTTTATCAATCACATGAGAGCTTAAGCTATAAATTTGACCATGAAACTTATTGGAATAGGCATAAAAGAGCTTGTTTTGATAGGCTTTACCAGGAAACTTATTGAAATGAGTTAAAAAGATATTTTTAGAGTAGTCATAAATTATTTTTTATAAGTTCAAATAAGCTCTCTGTAAGCTCTTCCAAACACCCTCTAAGCACTAGCTAACAGTAGTCATTTTCGGCTCACCTTACTTAGAACAATTGGACTACCAGCACGACATAAGATTGCCCTACAATCACCAATGTTAGCAACAAATAGTTTGTTCCTAACTATAAGAGAAGTAATTGCTGTACACCCAGGATGCCAATCCTTCTGGATACATCTTCTGGATTTGCGATAGGAATCAAGCTCTTTTCTGAAGGCAGCATCTGTACTAATGAATGCTTCCGCTAGTGCTTTAGCAGGACTGCTTTAATATATTAAAAGAATTAAACTTTCAAAATGATAGGACCAATGGCGAAGGGAAAGGGGTCATCTAGTGTGAAATATACCTGCCCATAAAACTTAAAGTCTGCAAAACTGCTGGCACAGCTCTAAAAGAAAACTCAGCAGCTGCTGCACCTGCATAAGTAACAATCATGCTTATTAAGCTATAATACTACCATGAATGGTCATTGAGATCATCTTCATGAGCAATCATATTTATCAAAGTTCATTACCAAAAATATCCATCATGATCCATTACACCAAAGCAGAATTAATGTTAGAGTCATTCATTTTGATAATTAATGTTCAGTTAGTTATAACTAAAGCAGAATTATGATATTGTAATATAGTTGTGGTACCTATTGTACAGTCAGTACGTACTTGGTTAAACCTTTTTTAGAAAATATCAATTATTTTTGCTTCCTTCGTGAGAATTTTCCTTGTATAAAAAGCAATTATTTTTCCCAAAATATGTTTTGCCAAACACATGTTCAGCTTCTGTAACATTCGGAATTCAGTTTTGCCATATTCTATAACATTTTATTTTTGCTACCTTCATGAGAATTTTTTATTTATAAATAAAAGGCAATTATTTTCTCCTAAAAAATGTTTTATCAAACATGTATAGTTTCTGTAACAGATTCAGAATTCAGTTCGGTGGTTCCATTAAGCCCAAATCCAAATTCTAAGAATAGTTTCTTACGGTGTAAGATTTTAAGACACAATCATAATACTATATCCTTTCTCACCATATTTAAACACACCTTAAAAACTGCTCCTGATATTACCCCATAATAGGGCAAACCATGTTCTTAAATGTATCTTGTTTAGAAAAAAGTCCTTAGATAATATTAGTATACTACACTGATAAAACCTACAACTATAATAACAACACTGAAGCCTTTTCCACCTCCAATTAGGATACGCTCACATGACACATTCAAAAATTGTTTGAAAAAGGAAGACTATACTGGTTTTGGAAACAAATAGAGGCAAAAAAAGCAGGAACCGAATTGCCATCCTTAAGTTGCTTATTTTATTACATAAACCAACTTACTCATGTTCAGAAATTTGACCCAGGTACATGCAACTAAAATCGAAAAGAGATTCATGAACTTATTATTAGACTATTGTTTAAATTCCTCTAGATTTTGTACAACATTTCACCATGTTAGGCACTGCATTTTGCTTCTACAAGAGCTATGGAACCAGGAATCAAGCTGACAACAGATGGAGTTTTGATCTATCTCACTATCACTATTGAATATTGGAGTATATATCTTTACTCCAATAATCACTAGACTTGATATTGCCTTGCCAGTAAATGTTGCTAGTAAATCCATGTCTTCTCTGACCAACACTCATTTGGAAGCACTAATTTGCATTAAGCATTTAAGAAAGCTCCAAGAAAAAGGATTGTGTATCAAGATCATGGAAATATGCAGGTGGAGGCTTTCTTTGATGCAGATTAGGCAGGGTCATGCAGATTAGGCAGGGTCTCCTATGGACCGTAAATCTACCACAGGCTGCTGAATAATTTTAGGAGGTAATTTGAATTATTGGAAATGAGAAGCAAAATGTCGGGGCGAGTCCAACACAAAGGTAGAATATAGGGCTATGGCTCAAACAGCTTGTGAATTAGTATGGGTTAGACAGATTTTGGAGATGAGATTTGCTAATACTATAATACTTGTCATATGAAATTGTCGTGTGACAACCAAGCTGCCATACATATCACATCAAACCCAGTTTTTCATGAAACAAAACAAAGCATATTGAGGTAGATTGTCACTTCTTCCGAGAAGTCCAACACAATCTTATATCTACTTAAGTTTAAGACAGTAACCAACGAACAGATGTATTAAAAAAGCTTTGGATGGGTGGATGGTGATTTTATTTGTAATAAGTTGGCATAACTAACATCTATGCTCCAACTTTAGCGGGGGTGTCAAGAGTTATTGTTAAGAATAAAGAGTTTTAGTATGTACACAGGTTTTTCCTATATGCTTGTATATACTTAATCTAGTAATTTAAATATGAGGGTCGCTGCGCTACACATTGTAGTGCATCCAATTATAGTTGACTCATAAGCCTCTATCTCTTCAATCATAAACGAGACATTATTTTCAAGCTCTAGCATTAATTAAAAACTATTTTTTCTAAAATTAAAAACCAAACAAAATGTAGATATTAGATAAATCACTAATACATTATACATACCCCTATGGCCATCAAAGATACCAAAAGCATAGACATCCTTTTCGCCGCAAATATGGGGCAGAATGAAATGTGTATCCTCCATAGTCTCCCTTCTCCCACAGGTAGCATAAGATCCCCAAGACAGTATTGGATGGTATACTGAAGGTTCATCATAAGACTCACGCTTAGTTATCAAACCAGAATCTTTTGCAGTAGAGCCACTCCTGACCAAAAGTTCACCAAGAGTAGACCAGCTAAAACTCTCTTGATAAGCCAAAAGGTGATCAGTCTTGTCCACGGGTTGATCAACATGCAAGTTACAAGGTCTGATATGAATATCTTCTGCCTTCTCTAACTTACCACTCTCCTTAATTAAACCAAGTTCCTTGACAATGTCATCAAAAGCAGGTCTGTTATTAGGATTTGAATCCCAACATTTTTGTATCATTGATAATAATCTTGTAGGTATACCCGAGTCCTCAGTAGCAATGACTGGCCGTAATCCATCAGAAACAACAGCTGCTGTTAATTGCTGCTCAGTATAGTTCATCTCAAGCACTGTGTGGGCCTGTCATCGGTAAACATTGATTAATATCATCATCACACATTTAAAAAGAAAAGGTTAATATTGCTAAGTAATGTTTTCCCAAAGGTTCCAATAAGCAAAAACCCCACCAACAAAATAATTACTAGGACTATCAGGCAAAAATGGTAGTTGACAACTATATGATATTAGTCATATTTTACATGGGATAAATGCCAATTAGTTGCATATCCCAAACTAAACTTGCTGATGGTTTAAAAGTTACTTAATAATTGGAATTACATATATATGACAAGCCTAAATTTTGCTTTCCCTCCTATTAGAAAATAGTTATCAAGTTATCGATGAGCTTATTAGTAGGTTATTTGCAGTTGTATTTCATGAGACAAAATCTCAAGGTTTGGATATCTCAAACTAAAGGCAATTGTGCTAATGTTTTAAAAGTTACAAGAATAATTAGAATCATCATTTATATGACAAGCCCTAATTCAACTTTTCCTCCTGTTAGAAAATAGTTATGTATGTGATTATTAGGTTATTTTCTAGTCTTATTTTAGGTCATAAATGATGAATCTCAATTAGTTGGATATCTAAAAGTTTAAAAGTTGCTTTATGTCAGATTAAATGTTGTTAGATCTACATATATTTTGTATTTTATATATTTTTTGCCTCTATACAAGGTTATTGTACCAAGGGAGATGTAGTCAAACGTCTCACCTCTCTTTTGTATTTTCTATCTCGTATATATATAATATTCAGATCTGGAAGTGTGAACTAGGCACACCAGATTTTTATTCAAACTTTCAAACCTCAAGTCTTTAGAATAATTAGAATTATCACTTATATGACAACCCCTAATTTTACTTTCTTAATTGTAGATAATAGTTATAGTTATTATGTTATATATTTTATTGTACTTATTAGGTTATTTTGTATTATTGGGATAGGTCTATCTTTCTTGTACTGATCTTTATTTTTTAGTATATAAAAATAGACACTGGATGACTAACAACATTGAGATAGTTTAACAACATTGAGATAGTCTAACAACATTGAGATAGTCATTACTCATTCCCATTTCCTAGCATTCCTTTTAATCTTCTCTTGGTAACTAGAGCTGGTTAAAGAAAACCTAACAAATTGTAGTTTGTTTTTCCTCCTATCTTTCAAAAGAAATGTCATGGTAGCATTGCTGGGGACCAAATTGTTTGTTAGTGTATGTTCTTGAGGTCAATCGTATATTGACCATAATGGTTTATATTATATTATGTCATTTAATTTAATTTATGAGGCATTTCATTTCTTTATTGTAGTTAAATGAACATAATGATATCCTTAGAATAGTGTGTTCAATGTAATAAACTATCAAGTGTCAGTTGATCGCAAGATCTTATTGGTTCAGAACGGAACATTACTCTTAAATGTCCTTGGTTTAGTATTATTCTGAATAGTGTAAATTGGGATAACAATAATGTATAGAAACTAGTATGTGCACAGACTAAATTTGGAATTGTTGACTTCCTAGACAAAAATTTAAAACAAAAATCCTATTTGGTCCTTTCTAATTATATTATTTACTCCTTGTTGACAAGCCAGAGTTCCATTTCAAAACAGGAGAGGAAGTATTTTCAGTCTTCACAAAAAAAAAAGGAAGAAAACCAAAAGCATGTCTAGTCTCAAAAATTGAGTTTAGACAAACTCGAACTCACAAAATCGGCTTGTAAAATAAGAACTGCCCGAGCTTTATAAGCATTATTCAAGTCATATCTCTAGTTGATGTGGGACTAAACCACAACTCTTGAAGTTGCAATTAAGACAATTCCCAAAGAGGTCACAACTAGGCAGGCTAGGGTGACTGCAACTAAGGCAACTTTCCTAAACTCCCCATCACACCTAGGGCTACCAGCTTGGAGCATGCCAAATGCATGTGGCCCAACAATAAATCTAGAATAGACTTTGATACTATCTTAAAATTTGGTCTTAAAACTTAACTGCACAAAGTTGGATTGAAAAGCGAGGGTTGGCCCCCACTTGTATATGCTTAGTACTATTGGGTTTGGTTCGTGGATAATATTATAGATGACACGTTAATGGATCTAGGATAGACTCTAATAGTATCTTAGAATGTGAGTTTAGACCTAACTTAAGTCATATTACAAGTCAATGTGGGACTTACAATGTGGTATGTGGGTTTTTGCTTTGATACCTTCTTAGAATCTAAGTTTAAGCCTAAAGCAACCCTACAAAATTGACTTATAAAGTAAGGGTTCCCTCCACTTATATACACCAATTTGGCCACATTCCCATTTCACTAGTTGATGTAGGTCTTTTGTTTTTTTCCAATACACGTTTCATGCCCAACACTATTGGGTTTGGTAAGTGTACAATATTAAGACGGTCTGTTAATGGATCTAATATAGGCTCTTATACCATTTGAGAATGTGGGTTTGGTCCTAACTATTGATAGTCAATGTGGGATCTCCAAATATACATCCCTCACACTAAGGATTGGACATATCTCACTCTCATGAAATTGGCTTGTAAAGTAAGGGTTCCCCCCACGTATATACACACCAATTTGGCCACATACCCATTTCATTAGTTGATGTAGGTCTTTTGTTTTTTTCCAATACACGTTTCATGCCTAGCACTATTGGGTTTAGTAAGTGTACAATATTAAGGCAGTCAGTTAATGGATCTAATATAGGCTCTTATACCATTTGAGAATGTTGGTTTTGTCCTAGCTATTGATTGTCAATGTGGGATCTCCAAATATACACCCCTCACACTAAGGATTGACCATATCTCACTCTCATGAAATTGGCCTGTAAGGTGAGGACTTCCCAAACTTTATAAGTTAATTTTAAGTCATATTCCTAGTCGATGTGAGACTAAATCACCACCCTTGAAGTTGCAATTAAGGAAACTTTCAAAGAGGCTGAAAGTAGGGCGGGCAAGGGGTGACTGCAACTAAGGCAACTTTCCAACATTTAGCAGAAAATATAATGTCCATACTTCATCTCATTTTTAGAACAAGTTGTACTATCATTTGTAGAACCAGTTATACTCTAGACAAGCAATAAATTCAAAATACACATATGATAGATAGACTGACCTGTGCTTCTGTACGAAGATCAGTATATGGCACAACACCAGTAAGAAGTTCACTGCAGCAGATCAAATAAAAGTTTTAAATTCACAAAGAAAAACTTAAATTGAAAAGAATTTTATCTATACATGCTTTGTTTAAACCCATGAGAAAAGTTTTGTATTGATTGAATGAATGGCAATGACCAAAGGAGAGAACTTTCCAGACAATGGCTTCCCTTCAATAAAAAGCCACTGGTCGGTTCTGAAATCAGAAACTTCGAATGAAAACCTCTTCTACCCATCTACTATTTACCTATGTCCTGTTCCTGTCAACTTCAAACACCTAACCAACTTAACAACATTAGTATCCTAGCTAATTCTATAATTATTCCAATAGTTTTGCCTCACTTTCCTTGTCTTCTTTTCTCTTCCTCCAATTGTAAACATTTTCTTTTCATTTTTCCAGATCCCATGAGAGTCCAAACATATTATAACAGAGCATCGAACAACCAGCTTATGTGATAACATAATGACCAGTTTGTATGATAAATGTTAGTCCAATCAAATACTTCGTAAATCAAGCTGCCTACCTTCTAGTTCTAGCATAACTAAGGTTGAGAAGCAATAACAATTTCTAGAAGAAAAAGATGTTTTACATATGTTACTGTTCACTTCACATGAATATCTATATTTGAGAAAGTAAGAATAAGAAAAAATGGATGATAGTCCATCCGTCCACTGCTTTACAAAAGAAAGACAAAGAGATATGTTGGTAGATTGCAAGTTGAAAATATAAAAATTGTCAAACTTGAAACAAATCTAATCAACTCAGAAACCAAAAATAAAAATAACACACTACATCAAGGTAAAAACTGTTGCAACTGGTTCCTCGTATGGTATATATTAACAGCATCAGATATATGATGACAAAACATTCATTCCAGTCAGCTTTTCATACAGAACCAAAAAAAAACATGAATGGAAGAAAACAAATCTCATATTCTTACTTGACAGTTATCCCAAAACTGTATACATCTGACTTTTCTGTATGCAACTCCTTTCTTAATATTTCAGGTGCCATGTAAATGAGTGTTCCAACCATATTCTTTTTGTGGAAACCACCAGTAGGCTTTCCAGAAGACTTCCAATTCGCGGTAGAAACTCCCTTAAGATCATTCTTGTATTCTGCCAAACCAAAATCTGTGAGGTGTGGACAAAGATTTTTGTCAAGCTGCATCACAGATTCACAAGATTAATAAGGTGATACATACATGAAGTACAATATATCAAATACTAAAGACGGTTCTAAACAACCAGAAAAATCGAAAGATATGAGAGACATTTACAAGAATATTTGCCGGTTTCACATCTCTATGCACAATCCCGAGGTTATGCAGATATTGCAAAGCCTTTGCTGGAGAAAGGAAGTTGAAGGAAACGGGGGAAATTTGTCAAACATTATTTATTTTTTTCTGTTGGATAAAACTGCCAATTACTTTATATACTTAAATTCCAAAATTTCCCTACATAATTGAAGTTGGTAAAATGAATCGGATAAAAAGTTGAAGGAACAGAATTCCTAGTTGATTTGTGGAATACTTCTAAATTTTGCAACTTTATTTTGAGTTCCTTTTGGCATCTTAATAATTTCAACTTGGAAATAATGCTTTAATACCAAAATAACCATTCAAAATTGCTACAAATAACATTGTCAATTATTTTACAAATATAATCATAATCTAACAGCCTATGGTCTCAAAGCCAGCCCCAAGCCCGGGTAAAGGGGATGACTAACCTAAAACTTGTTGAAACCCCAAACAATCAATTAATCTTTCCTGGTATCACTATCATGCTTAGCAGTTTAAGATTGTTGAAACATCAAAAGATACGCTAATGCATACATATATACATACATATATATATATATGTGTGTGTGTGTGTGTGTAAATGAACTTTGGTTTATAGTCTACAATTCTGCAAGACATTCCAAATCATATAAACCTTGACTTGATCAAACATGCGAAACAACAGTTACAGTTTCTTTGCAGAATATGTAAGAAAAAGTATACCTAGACCAAGTAATTATGACTTAATATTTCATAGCAACTGATGAAATCACAATTCTACCTAACTGGATTGCTATCATAAGTGCATCATTGAGAGTTGGGATCCACTCTTCCACGTGTAACTTCTGTGCAAGATTCAGAGATTCATATAACTTGAAGAAAAACATGTAATTGGGTGGTTTTGCATGGGCTGCAATTAGTGTCGCTATTCCCGGATGATCTAACTTGCTACACAATTACCAACAAAAATAAAAGTGAACTTTATACTCACAATTCACCAGCCACAAGACTCCACATAATTTACCCTTCCGCATATGACAACACTAAAGAAAAAAGTAAGGACATGTTTGGGTAAACTTCAAAATCACCTCTAGAGAGAAAAATTCTCTAGAAAAATAGGAAGGAAAAATGAAATAAGTTTTTCCATAAAACATAGTTTATGCATAACGGCCTGCTCAAGTAAACTTTTTTTCAAAAGCACTTTTACGAGAGTAAAATCTGAAGAAAAAATAAAATAAGCATTTTCATAAACATAAACTAACTTATGCATAAGCTAATTTGAAAAAACTCTTTCCTAATAGTTTCTCTAAAATCTTATTTTTAAGTATACATAAGCTAGTTTTAGCAGCTTATGGAGAATCTTATTATAATTTTCCTTCGTATGTTTTCTTATTAGAAGTGTTCAGTCTGTCCAAACAGACCCTAAGCCAATTTTTAAAAGTTATCTCCCATTAGCTTCTCCAAAATCTATTTTTCTTCTCCTATAACTGTTTTCGAAGAAGATTATTCAAACATACCTTAAAATTCATTAAAAGATGTGCAAATAAACTTGTACAGAACTACATTTAAAAAAAAAGGGTAGTTGGGGGTGAAAGAGAGAAAGAGAGAGAGAGAGACCATAGCAATTGCAATTCTTTATGGAATTTATTGATGTCTTCAGAAGTAGACAAAATGGGTTTCTTCACAGCAACCCTCACACCATCCAAAGTCCCTTCATAAACAACACTCTCAGCCCCTACCATTGCCACCAACAACAAAAGTCACAAAATCAACAACCTCTTCCATCAAAGCATAATCCCAAACAAATACCACCCATCAAAAATCAAAAAGCTGAAATAATTCGGAGAAGGGTTTGGGTTGGTTTACCTCGGGCAATGGGCGAGGAGATAGCATAAGAAGAGGGAGGGAGATGAAGGGGAATAGAGGGGCTGGTGCAGCAACCCCTAACGCACGTGTTAGGCTCCGGAATCTCTATTCCCATTGCTCTTGTGTTGATGCAGAAGACGAAGATGAAAATGAGAGGGGATTTCAGTGCACAAGAGTATGGTGTGGTGCGGACTACGTGTATATCATGTTTTAGCGATGGAAATTTCGTGTTGTTGGGCGCTACTCGAGTTTCGTTTTGGCCGTTTCATGCGCACGTTCTTGGCATCTACGGAGCACAAAAATGGACCCACCCAAACCCATCAACAACCGCGCCTCAATTGGTCCCATATGATATGGAGCATACATAGATTGTGTTTTAACAATTTTTTTTTTTTTTTGAGGTGGATTGTGTTTTAACAATTATTTTTCTAGAAATATTTTTTTTTATGAAAAATGTTACATGTATAATCATCACTAGTGTACTTTTTTATTATTTTATTATTATAAAAAAGATATATTATTAATGATAGAGAAAAAAAAACATGAAGTTCTATGAATTGTTGTACAATTTTTTTTATATATATCATATTTTTTCTATAGATATCTTATAGTTGTAGAAATTATATCTTAATCATATAAGAAGAGTTAACTTACGTAATCAACCAACCAATTACAAATTTAATAAATATTTTTATGATAAATATTTTAAAAATCTTTTAAATATTAACTTTTGATTGGTTGAATTTTTACATTTTTAAGGCATCACTATTAAATCCTATATAAGAATTTATATGTAGTCGTATATGATATTTTTCTTTTTCTTTTTATATATATAAAAACAAGAGTTATAGTATAATGATTTTTAATTTATGAATTATATATATATATATAGGAGGGTTCAAACGATATCGGTATAACTTTTATTAAGTATTACACCGCTCAATAACTTTATATTAAATGTGAATTTTCAAAATTTAACCGTTAGATTGAAAGTTTATATCTCTTAGATCATATATATCAAATTTTATATTAATTTAAGATGATTTAATACTTGATTCTCATAAAACAAAATTGACGTAATATATACATTTCAAAATATACTAAAATATGAACACTTTGATTATCTTCAAGTTGTTATTCAATTTTAACAAAATTTGATATATACGATCTAAGAGATGTGAATTTTCAATCTAACGGTTGGATTTTGAAAATTCATATTTAATATAAAGTTATTGAGCGATGTAACACTTAATAAAAGTTGCACCGGTTCTCATATATATATTAACATGAAATCCTTAATTTCCTACTAATTTAATTACTATCTAAATTAAAATTTGTATAATAAATTAATGTTAATAAAGATATTAAAAGAAAATTTTAGATATGTTTTTAGTTTCAGAAAAATAAGTAGGTTTTTGATTTTGGTACTTATAAAATTTTTTCTTTATATTTTATTATTCTAAAATTAAAAATTATGGTTTTAGTTCCTACCATTATGTCTTCACTTGAAGGTAATGTAAGCATCCCAAGTGGTAACCAAAGTTGTTGTGATACTTTATTTACATGTAACACTACTATTTTCTGGTAAAGATAAGAAAAATTACAAAGACGGTCGTAATGAGGATTGAACATAGGTCCTCATGCTTCTAACTATCTCAACCCCACCCGACCTGGCACTATTATTTTATTTTATAAATTTTCAAAATAAATATTATATATATAAGGAGGGATGCATACGTACTTCAAGAATAAGTCTAATATATATATATATATATATATATATATATATATTTACACATTTCAATAATTGAATGCAATATATGTTTGATATTGTAGAGTCGTGCTCCTTTAATTGTCAAAAAGAATTTTAAATAGTATATTTGATTTATTTAATTTACAGTTTATTATTAATGGAAATTTTAATGCTTTAGTGAATTAAAAGTAATTACAATTTTTTAAAATACTTCAAATTTCAATAATTTAATATAATATATCCTTGTTCGAGATTAATTAGGTATGTCCAAGATCTAATCTATCATGTAATCAATTTATCTTATTTGATAAAGTCCTTGATTAAAATAATAAAAGACTTTGTTTTCTCATTGTCATAATCTCTATCATGATAACATGTCTATAATTTTAAGCAAGAACTTTATCAAATAAGATAAATTGGTTACATGATAGATTGGATCTTGGGCATAACTAATTATTCTTCAACAATCTTTCACTTGCAGTAGAGCCAATCAGTCATGTACCTCATTCCCGCTTCCCACTTGTGCTTGTCAAACTCCTTTATTGGTGCAAGATGACACGTCTAATAAGAATGAAACATCAAATGATTTGGATTTATGTTTCATAATATACAAAAACCTATATATGGACATATTGTCAATGAATGTTATAAAATAAGAATATCCATTTTTAGCTTGAATTTTCATAGGGCCACAAACATTTGTACGAATTAGTCCTAATAATTCAGAAGCTCGCCCTCCACTTCTAATAAATGGAGCTTTAGTCATTTTTCCTTTGAGACATGATTCACAAGTTTCATATGATTCATAATCATAATTATCAAGATAACCTTCCTTGTGTAACTTGTTGATTCTTTTCTCACCTATATGACCAAGCCTTCAATGCCAAAGGTATGATTTATTTATTTGATTGTCTTTTTGTCTCTTAAGACCAGAAGAAACATGCAAATCAAATTGTCATTAACATCAGGTAAGACATATATGCCATGTTGGAGATAACCATTCACATATAAATCATCATTATGATAAATTGAGCAAATGTCATTATTGAAAATAATGTGAAAACCACATTTTTCCAACATAGAAATTGAAATTACATTTGAAACAAATTTCAGAACACAATAACAATCCTCTAACACTAGTAATTTGCCAATAGGCATTATTAAAGAAACTGATCCTAAAGCTAAGGCGGCAACATTTGCTTCATTCCCTACTCTTAAAGGTTGACTTTACCCTTCTTCAAATGTCTAGTTATCTACAATCCTTGCAATGAATTGCAGATATTAAAACTACTTCTAGTATCTAATACCCACATAGCAAAATCAGTAATAGTTAAAGAAATCATGAAAACAATTTTTGCCAATATCTCATCTTGTTCCTTCTGTTTAGAGAGTCAAGATATTTTTTGCAATTTCTCTTCCAATGTCCCTTGTCCTTAAAAAAGAAGCACTCTGCGTTGACTTGGGCAGTATTAACCTTTTTATTCTTAGGTTTGGTCACACCACCTTTAGTTGCAAAAAGGTTTGTTTTCTTGTTGAAATTTCTCTTGCCCTTATTCTTTGAGCCCTTTCCAACAACCATGACAATTCCTTTCTTTTTCTCAGATTGATTCTCATAATTAATCAACAAGTTAAACATCTCATGCAAATCACAGTTCATCTTGTTCATATTGAAACTCACTATGAATTGAGAAAAAATGTCAGGAAGTGATTGTAAAATCAAGTCTTGAGAAATCTCTTTCCCAATTGTGCACCCCAACTTCTCAAGTTGTTCAATTGTTAATCATCCTTGGAACATGGGGTCCAACTTGATCATTGGCAATCATTGAGGACTTGAATAAAGACTTAGATAACTAATAACTAGCTGTCTTACTCTATCCACCATACATCTTCTTAAGATGTTCAATGATTGCAGGTGGTTTCATATCCTGATGTTGCCTTTGAAGTTTAGAACTCATGGATGTCAGGATGATGCACTTTGTGATATTACATTGTTCCAAGTACTTCTCATAAGTCTTGGTTGCTTCAACATCATCAAAGCTAGCTGGTGCAGTCACAATAGAGCTGTCAAAATGGCCCAGCCTGGCCCGTTTGGCCCGGCCCACCTCAACCCACTTTTTAAGTGGGCCAACCCGGCCCGGCCCACCAAATATATTATGCAAATTTTTCTAGCCTGGCCTAGCCCACCACGGGTTGGTGGGCTAAACGGGCCGCCCACCAACCCACCTGATTTTTTTAAAAAAATTTAATTTAAAATAAATTTCAATATAAAATAATATTTAATCTAAAGTAAAAATTATTAAACTAAGTATCATGGATACAATATTAAAATTAAATTAATAAGTGTGCAACTTTAAAAAATTAAAACTAAAAATAAAAAATCTTTCATGAGAGTGATTATTCATCAATATTAAATTTTATTAGAGGTTTTGATAGATAAATTTATAGTAATTTCATATTGTTTAACATTGATTTTATCTTTATTTATAAAAAAAATTATATCTTATTAAAATAATGTATATATAATAATAAATAGTTAAGTGAGTTGTTAGTGGATTGTTAGTGGGTTTAGGGGATGGGTTGGTAAGTGGGTCAGGTGGGCCGCCCGGCCCACCAGGTCAGGTGGGCCGCCCGACCCACCACGGGTTCAACCCGGGTGGGCCGGGTCGAAAGTGGGCCGGGTCACATTTTTTGACCCATCATAAATTTTTTCATTTTTTTGGCCCGGCCCCGCCCGTTTTCAAGGTGGGCCGGGTTAACCCACGGGCTGGAGCCCACTTTAACAGCTCTAAGTCACAACAGGCTTCTTAATGATGTCGATAAGCTTCTCGTGCATGAGAATGATTCTCAAGTTTCGAAACCAATTAGTTCCATTCAGTTTACCGGTTTCAAGGATACCACATAGTGACAAAGAAGACACAATGATGTATAGAAAAGTAAATAAAAGAAAAAAATGTCAAAACATTTTATGTTATGGGAAAATCTCAAAAAACAATATACAAGCTACTTAGTTGTCAAGTTATTTCTCATACATAATATATATTAAAAATAAATAATTTTCATACCACATAAGAAAATTAATAAATTTTTTTTGGATCATGTTATAATTAATTACTAATCATAAGTTTCCTGTATCAAATCGCTCCTCATTCTTAATCAATTAATTATAAGAGGTTGTATCATATACAATAATTAATACATGATAATAGACAATCATACACATCAAATATGCAAATATACAAATACAATAAATATTATTATATCATAATATAATAATTACTATTATTTTATGCATCGACGCACATAGACGTACATAATAACAAATACATCATACATAACACTTTATGCTATAATCTAATTCACAGATTCATTCATATATAATTGTTTCGAAAGAGATAAACTAAAGCATCAGTGTCCTGGTGCTAGAATTGTTCCTTGATACAATGAGAACATGGGTTTGTAACACCAGTCTTTTTTTTTTTTTTTTTTTTTTTTTTTTTTTTTTTTTTTTTTTACTAAAGTTGCTATGGGCTATAGCGACATTGAATGTCGCTATGGCTCATAACGACACCAGCTTTTTTTTTATGTTTTTTATTTTTTTCTACCTCAATTTTTTTTCAAAATTTTTGTTTTTTTTTTGTCATTGGGTCATTTTTTTCTCCAGATTTATTTTACCAGTTTTTTTAAAATTTATTTTATAATTCATTTTTTTTGTATTTTCCTACATTTTTTCCCTTCACTTTTGTGTGTGTGCGTTTTTATTTATATTTCTTTCCTCAATTTTATTTTTTTGTGTTTTTTTATACTAGTTTATTAAAAACAGGCTTGGCATTTTTTTCTTTTTATTTTAATTACTTATTTTTTCCCAGTTTTTTTAAAATTAACATATAAATATATAAATTTAATTTAATTTTTTAATTTGTGTAGTTTTAATTAAAAATATAAAACGAAAATTTTAAAATAAAACGTAAATATTTACAAAAAAAAATATACAAAAGGTGTCGCTGCCCATAACGACACCTATTTTTGTTTTTTTATTTATTTTTTTAATTACTTATTTTTTGCCCAGTTTTTTTAAAATTAACATATAAATATAAATATTTAATTTAAATTATTTAGTTTGTGTACTTTTAATTAAAAATATAAAAATGAAAATTTAAAAATAAAACGTGATTATTTGCAAAAAAAAATTATACAAAATGCGTGGCGCTATGGCCCATAGCGACACTAAGTCGCTATGGCCCATAGCGCCTCTTTTAAAAAATTCATATAATTTAATTTAAAATTACATTTTTAAAAAACTTAATTTTATTTTTATAAATATATAATAAATAACTCAGTTTATTATTTTTATTTTACATTTCTATTATTTTTGTTTTTTTTATTTTTTTCTTACACAGTGTCGTTATGGGCTACATTGTCTTTGTTAGTCCATCAGGTGTGCTGACCTAGCCTATAACGATACTGATGTGGCTCATTCCAGCTCAACCTAAAGAAAAAAAAATGTCACATGTTAAAGGTGTAATTAGTTACAAAACAGCTCTATTTACGTAAAATATTTTTAAAACAGTCTCATTATGATCAAAAAGCCATTTTATTTTATGGGTCATAGCGACACTATTGTAAATAATCCCAAAAATATAATTAGTTATAAAACAGCTCCATTTGCGTAAAATATTTTTAAAACAGTCTCATAATAAAAAGCCATTTTATTTTATTGGTGTAATTGTCTTTCCAGATGCTGATTCTTAATCTTTTATCAACATCATGCGCATGCAGTTCGAAACCAATTTTTCCATGTGTGAAGTTAATGGCAGTTTCGAATCATGATGAATGTGAAATAATATACACGTATTTCGAAAATCAATTTTCCGTAACACCTTTTCAGAAAACCACTTTCTTTGTCACATTTACTTTTTAGAAAATCACCCGTATCACACAGACCACTCACAAAAAAATAATAAATAAATAAAAATTCAGCAATGTCTACCATTCCACGTTTTTCATACTTCTTATCCTTTTTTATTTTATTTGCAGTTAAAAGAAATCATCTATCTTTATCTGTTGATGGTTATAACATAAAACTAAGCTGACCAAAACAAAATCATACTTTGTGAGCTAATGCAACAGCTAACAAATAAAAATTGAAGCTTTATCACATAAATAAAATTAATATAATTTAAATAAACAAAAATATCCATATCAATGGAAGGAAAACACTGTTCATAACATGTATATGTGAAAAAATAGGATCAATTTTATATTTAAATTATAATATGCACTAATAAAACTTTAAAATATGTACAATCATAAATATTTTCAATAGTGTGAAGATTCTATTTGTATCTACACTGAGATTAAACTCTATTATCAATAATCTTGATCTATGAAACTTGAAAAATTATTGATGTTTGAGAACTAAGAAAAAAGTTGAAAGAGTAAAATGCTAGAAAAATTTTAAATGAAAGGAATCTCACATTTACTAGGTCGCACATACCCATACTTATAACACATGTTGGATAAAACCAACTTCCCTCGATAAAAACAAAACCACTACCATTTAATGGGTGATTTTTATTTTGGATGTGTCCTTACTTTTTGGTGGTTCCCCTTGATTTGAGTTACAACTAAAGAAACAAGTATTGAAACCAAAAGTAACAAACAATTTTTTTTCAAAAAAAATATTTAATCTTCCAAATCTTTCTCTCTTTCAATCGTGGACTACTTCACTTCACTATCACCTCAAACCACTTGCACATCTAAAGGGGAACCACCAAAAAGTAAGGACACATCCAAAATAAAACCATCCATTAAATGGTAGTGATTTTGTTTTTATTTGGAGGGAAGTTGGTTTTATCCGACATGTGTTATAAATATGGGTATGTGGCTATTAATAAATGTAAGATTCCTTTCATTTAAAAATTTCCTAGCATTTTACTCTTCCAACTTTTTTCTTAGATTTCGAACATTAATAATTTTTCCAGTTTCACATATCAAAATTGTTGATAATAGATTTTAGTCTCGGTGTAGATATATATTGAAAAATTTTATGATTCAAGAGCCCATCAACATATATATATAAATTTTATCGCTATATAGTTTAAATACAAAACTCATCCTATTTTTTCACATAAACATGTTTTTTTTTGTTCGTTCCTGTAATATCTACTACTGATACTAGCGACTTATCTTCTCGTTATATTGGAGACACCTCAAAAGGTGAGATAGCTGGCCCCAAAATTTAACGCGATTGTATACACAATGCAAGATTCGAGCTTCTGACTTTACTTAAATGTGAACCAACTCCTACCGCGCAGAGGACATGTTAAGAACAGTATGTTTCCCTTCAATCCTCTGTACCGTGTAGAGGACATGCATGTGAAGCAGCAGTATAAAAAACAAACCAAAACCCATAATTCAACGTATGGGACAAAACATCAAAGAAAACAAAGTATACCCAACATAAACTATTGATAGTCTTCAATAATTGTAGTGATAAACATAATTTTCAAAGTCAAGACAACAAAAAAACTCTGTAAAGACTGTAAAGACAATAAGAGGGTCCACCACTGACGAGCAATAGCGCTATATATAATATTAATTCTTCCCATGACTTTCCCATAGCAAAGTCCTTCTTTAACTCCAAACTTCACTTTCTTTCCTCACTAATGGCTTCCGTCACCGGAAAAAAAATCGTCGAAGAAGTTTCCGGCTGGTTGCGGGTCTATGACGACGGCTCCGTCAACCGGAGCTGGACCGGACCACCGGAGCTCGAGTTTTTCGTACGCCCGGTTCCACCGCACCGTGAGTTCATCGACGGAATCGCCACAAACGACGTCGTCATCGACCCAAACACCAACCTCACCGTACGCATATACATCCCCCAAACGGAACACTCCACTGTCCCACATAAGAATAACACCACTCCCAAACTACCCCTTTTCCTTCACTTCCACGGTGGTGGCTTCTGTTTCAGCCAACCCGATTGGTTCTTATATTACCACTTTTATTCCAACCTCGCTCGCAAGACTCCTTGTGTTTTAGTCTCTGTTTACTTGCCTCTTGCTCCTGAGCATAAGCTCCCAGCCGCATGCGACGCAGCTTCAGCTGCGTTCACCTGGCTTGGAGCTATAGCTCGAAGCGAGGCTCACGAGTCATGGCTCGTGAACCTCGCAGATTTTAATCACGTGTTTTTAATTGGAGACAGTACTGGTGGGAATGTCGTGCATGAGGTGGCGGCTCGA